TAATGCCAACCAAAACTAGTTGATAGCTGTCATTGGAGGCTCCTTCACAATCCTGTTTGGGAACCCGGCAGGGGTGCTAAGAGGCGGTGGAGGTCAGAGCGATGCCTCTCAGGTGGGAAGGCTGCAGGGGCTGTTACTTGATGTCTCCAGCCCTTTCGAGGCATCAGCCAGCAAGGACAGCCTGGGAAGCCTGTGGGCTCTGACTGCTCATCTCAGGCAAAAAATGCCAGCTCAGGGTGAGGGGAGAGTGAATTCCCTGCCTTCTGCAGCATCCACACCACTGGCCCGTTGAAACATGAGCTCAGGCTTGGTTCAGGCTTCAACCTCCTCCTCCTCAGCTCTGGACCACATTAAGGAAATGCCTAAGACTGCTGTCTGGAGAGAAGAGCATTGTCACCCTACCCTCAATGTAGAAAACCTACTTAGAATGGCCATGGGCTCCAGGAAGCACAAATGCTTCCAACACAGATGCAGCCCTGTTCCTTGCCAAGACCAGGCTCCCTGCCTAGTGTACCTGAAGAGACACCAAGCATCCCACAGGAGATCTCATAGAGGTCTCACAAGATGTATTTATTACCAGGCTGTTCTCACTGCTGCTGGAAGATGCACAGAAGCTCGTGCCTGCGGATTGTAATTTTTGCTCATGGGTGATTTTCTTATGCTAATGGTTGCAGTCTTCAGTTTCACATCAGGTTTTATCTGTTGCTATTTATACCTATTATTGAACTGAACATGGTGGGTATCCTAGATGGCTCCACGCTCTTCTCCCAGCTTGCCCTGCTTCACTCATACCCTTTACTCCAGTCCCATCATCTCCACTTCAAGGCTCGTCTCCTGCCCATGGAGTCCCACAGACCATTGCCACTTCATGGCTGCTGCTGCCACGGGACCCTGCATCCCATCCTCCCCACTGCTCCTTCCCCACAGACCACTCTGGGATGCCTGGTCTGGTGGCACATGGTGAGCATTACCCTCAGGGAGCAGCAATGCCCTGTGCTGGGACAGACCTGTGCTCCTCAGCCTTCCGCTCCTCAGCCTTCCAGCCCAGCCTGCCACAGGGATGCTCTCCCTGCCACTGCCTATCAGCATGGAAGTGATCTGTTAGATGGGACCTGGCTGTCTTCTAGGTGAGAGACCCACACCGGCCAACACCAAGATGAGGCAGGGATGTAGCATTCAGTTGTCAGCAGGCGCTGGGGGGACAGTTGTCCTCCCTTTGCAGCTGCAGATTCCTGGTAGAGCTGCTTAGCCGCAGCACTTAACTCCAACCTCACATCTCTCTGCAAATCCCCCTACTATCAATCGAAGCTGGCAATGTAAAGTGGCTCTTAAGGGCTGTTCATTTGTCTCTGTTTAAAACATATCCATACTCCAGTGATTCATAACCACCCTGAAGGCTAGTGCATGCCAGCACCCTCCTTTCCCCACCGTCCTGTTTATTTTATCCACCATCTGCCTGCCTTCAGCTCAGGGCTATATCCACTTTGATTGCTGTGGCCTGATTCTCCTGGGGATACACAAAGCATCTCTACAGTTCAGATGTTTAATTCATTTTCCAGTGATCTGCTCTGTCTTTAAAAATGAACTTATGCTGTGGAGATGACACCTTTCTAACTTACTTTTCTAGACCCTAAGTTTCCAAACACAGCCTGTAGTTATCAGCAGTAAGCTGATCTCCCGGATCAGCGAATAAGTGAATCTCTCTCTCCCCATTCTGGCCAACGTCTGCAGTCAAACTTCAACGTGTTAAATTATTATCCGGGTCAATAGGTGCAATCCAAAACAAATGCTGAACCTCTCTTTCATGTTTGCTGTTGCCACAGAAATGGAATCCTTGGGTGGACATGCACGCTCTGTGTTTAAGGACAGGCAGCTTACACTGGCCAGAGACATAGGAGAGATTTATTCCTCTTATGGAGGAAGAAGAAACTGGGGTTGTTTAGTCTGGAGAAGAGAAGGCTCAGGGGAGACCTTATTGCTCTCTACAACTGCCTGAAAGGATGATGGAGAAAGGAGGTGGCTGATCTCCCAAGTAATAAGTAATAAAAAAAGAGGTAAAGGCCTCAAATTGCATCAGGGGAGGTTTAGATTGGATATTAGGAATTTTCTTTTTCACCAAATGGACTTCCCAGGGAAGTGGTGGAATCACCATCCCTGAAAGTGTAGATGCCCTTAGTGACATGGTTTAGTGGTGGACTTGACAGTCCTGGGGTAACAGTTGGACTGGATGATCTTAAAGGTCTTTTCCAACCTAGTTGATTCTATGATTCTGTCTTCAGGACTATGGTAAGAAGAAAAGCAGCAGCTGCCCCCAGCCATCCCATGGTTCTTGTCCATCCCACAGTCCCAGGGGGCCAGAACCATGCAGAGGATGATGCTAAATGATCTTCCATATGGTATGGAAAGAGATACTACAAAATGATGCCACATTTTCTTTTCCACGGCCCTGTCAAGTCTTGACCATGCCCTGCTGAGGGGCCCTCTCAGCCGGTCCTGCCTGTGCTATGTAGACGCTTTCCCTCTCATCCTGGCCTGTTTCTTTTCCTTGACCATGTCACCACTGGACTTAGATCAGCCTTTCCTGAGAAAGAGCTCAGGCTGCTGCTTGCACCTGTCTGGAATCACAGTGTTGCAGGAGGTGGCCCTGCTCTGCGTGAGCAGTACTGGTGGCCCCACAAGGGCTGAGCAAAGACACCCTGCTCATGGGTCTTCCCTGCCAGCATGTCCCTCCATCTTGCTCCTTGGAGGCCCCAGGAGCTGGGAGGATGTGCGCAGAAACCTCTGCCCAGCTCAGGAGCAGCACCTGTGTGGCTGCTGCAAGGGGCATTGCATCTCCGAGCCATGCCCTGGCCAATTTTTCACACCAACAGCTGAGCTTCCAGAGAGAGATGGGAACAAATCCTGTGACCAGCTCTGGTTTTCAAAGGATACCCGAAGTGTTTGACTCGAAAAGGAAGCTGGTTCAAGTGATACACCTGAAAAATGCTGGGTCTCACTGGAGCCTTCTGTTCCAGGCTGAGCAAAGCCTTTGGGCTGGTTTGCTGCCTTTTTCACTTGACAAAGAAGTAGCAACAGAAAGACAATTTTGAGGAAATCTATAATGGATTTTTTTTTTTTTTTTTTTCCCTCTCTAATGCTGTGGTTTGGCCCTTAAGCCACAAAAGTCAATCACTTGCCTGTCTGTAATTCTGCACATAGACAAATACTGGCTGGAGACCTTGCCTGAGATTACCCCCTGAAAGCAGCATCAGAGCAGCATCCTGCAACTGGTGCCTGGCGGTCCCAGGCTCAGGGAGAGGGATTTAGAAAGTAGGCAGAAAAGGGACAAAATCTTCTTGATTCAGAGACCATGCTTGCAGAACAGCTGGAAACCAATTCCAAGCACAGATATTAAATGTGAGAGAGGGTGATGAAGGGTCAAGAGAGACTTGGGGAAGGGACGTAGTCTATCAGTGCCTGGGGTCTAATGCAGATGGGGCAGCACTAGGGGCACTCGGGGGCAGGAAGGGCAGAGCTTCAGACTGCCTGTTAAGGTCAAAGATGCTCCTGAGAACATCCCATCCCACACAGAGCAGCTGGGAAGGGGGCAGCCAAACCAGGAGGGCCTGAAGTGCCCAAGCCTGTGCCAGGGGCCATTCCCCACAGCCCACAGGCTGCTCTGCCACAGGCTACCAGGGCAGCCAGGGCTGGCCCCTTTGGGGCTTGCTCCAACAAGCTTGCAGGTGGCAGAGGGTGGATGTTAATGGGCAAGTTTTTGCCAAGCACTTGGTCACCCCTCTACAAGAGCTGGTGACATCTGCAGGCGGGGCTGAGGGCATGGAGGGGTTGGGTACCACACGAAAGCAGCGATCTGCTGTACAAATTCACCATGCAGGAGCTGCAGCAAATTACTCATTCTTTAATACTAGTGTTTATTACCTGCCTGTGATGGTGGCTCAGGGAGCTGAAGTGAAGTGGTTCAGCTCCCCAGATCTTTAGCTCTGCCAGCCATTTTCATGACACAAAAAACTTTTGCCAGAGAAATGCAGTCACTACATTTTGGCTTCGGTAATTCCTCCTCCTGACAGCCTACAAAGTAACCACCTATTATCCCCCAGAGACCAAGGCTTTTTTTGTCTTGTGTGTTGCAGGCAGGCTCAGACCCCGCTCCGCTGGTTATCCTTGGTACTTACACAGTGCTACTACCTTCCTCCTGGTAAAAAGGTTTCTACTGATGGCAGACCCTGAGGTCATGAAAAGGGTATGTTTTTCTCAGAAGCAAAGCAGGCAGCCCAGAGAAGAGGGTCTGGGGAGAGCACCATAGCTTTTGTGAAACCCACAGTGGCTTCAGAGAAGGAATTATAAACAGGCACTGGGCAGAGATGGAAAGTGTTTCCCTTCCAAACTCCTGAACGTGCAGCTCTTCCTGCAGGTACAAGCTGGGAGGGTGTCTCCAGAGCTATAGGAGATGGTGCTGTTCAGGGGAGTTTCATTGGCACAATTCACGCACTGGCATAGCCCTCTTGACCTAGGTCCCCACACCGGTCTCATGCTTGGGTGCATCCCATGGATGCACATTTAGGGTGGTTGGCAGTGGGCTGGCTGCTGCTGGCCTCTGAAGCTCCTCAGCAGAAGGAAAGCAACCCCAAACTTCAGTCAGTGGCTGAGCTGCCTCCCGGGAGGGAGCCGCGATGGCTGTGTGGGTCCAAAATGCCATTGCAGTTGCTCTGACATACCTGGCATCCAAAACTTTTGCTTAAATCCTTTCATTTCGCCCACCCCAGAGCCTCCGATCAGGTAATTCAATCCTGGTTTCTCCAGGTCGCAGCCTTTCATCCTTACAGCCCCCAACATATTTTCTGACCCCCCCCCGAGGCCAATCCGAGCTTGAAGCAGATCTGTCTTTCTCTGGGGACCTGCTGCCCCCCCACGGGGTCTGCCTGGGGACCGGATCCCCCGGAAAGCCACCCGCCCTCCTCCGAGGGGGTGCCTCCATCCCGGAGCGGTGCGCGGGTCCTTACCTGCGTGTCGAGGAGGGGCTCACCCGCCAAGTTGGCGGCCCGGCGGCAGGAGCGCAGCAGCAGCGGCAGGCATGACGGCGGCGGCAGCGCCTGTGCTGCGGGGCCCGGGCGGGCGGGCGGCCCTGCGGCGGGGCCGGCCGTGGGCAGCGGGAGCGGCGAGGAGCGGCGCGGCGGAGCCCCGCCGGTGCCTGGGTGTGCGGCAGCGCACCAGGCAGCACACGGGATGTGTGCGGCAGCAGCGAAGCCCTCTAGCTGCAGCACAGCCGTACTCGGCGTTCGTGCCCAGAGACCCCGCGCTCGCTGGCTGGGTGCGGAATCACCAGCTCCCGAGGCTCGCTAGCCGGAGCGACCTGTGCGTTAGCACCGCTCCTCTTCTCCCGACGTGATTTCTTCTCCTGCTGGTTTAGATAACGGGGGTGAAACTCCTGCCTCCCTCTCCTGCTCGCTGCAGTTCCCAGGGCACAGCCCTTGCTACAACCCCAGCAAGGGAAAGACACAGTGCCAGCAAGCAGAGTTCAAAGGAAAAGGCTAAATGAGATTTCCCGCTGCCGGTGCAGCGGGGTCAGGCAGCCCGGCCGGGGGCTGCATCCCAGGGACAGGCAGCTCATTTGCTGGCTCAGTCGGGTATTTTTCTGCTAGGGTGGGATGTTGATTTGCCTCTTCACACCTGAGCATCACTCCAGTTGGAGGAGTTAATCCACATTTACACCAGCACAGTGGGAGTCAACACTGCAGCTCCCGCATCATTCCTGCGCGCCCCCCGCCCGTGCAGGTAATGCCCCAGGGAGCCTGTGCTGCTCCCCCAGGCTCCAGCAGCTCCCCGACCCCTGCACTGTCTTCCCGCTTGCTCTAACCTCCCCGAGTACTTCCCCAGAGGCTCACCCCAGCACCAGGACAACTGACAGCAGATACACTTGCAGCTGAAGCCTGGTCCAGTGGGGGGGGAACCTGCTCAGCATGGTCAGAGAGCTGTCTGCCTTCCCCCATCCCCAGTGCTGCTGTGCCAAGAGGACACTGCACCAGGCAGACACAGATGTGCCTCACAGCCACCCATATCCACTGCCCTCAGCACCCTGAAGTCACTCCTCAGAGCCCACACCAGGGCCACCTCGGGAAAACGCTGAGGCTTCACAGCAAAACCTTCCTTTCTGTATGTCCAGGCTTGTCTCTAAAACCTCCCAGCTTATTCCAGGTGATGAATAGAAGGGTGATGGGTTATGTGCCAGGGCAGGCAGGCCCCAAGATCCCATTCCCAGAGGGTCTGGGGCTCTTGCTAGGGGATGAGATACTGGGGCAGCCTGCCCTCTGCTCCAGCTCCCAAAGAGGTGTGCATCCTTTCAGGAACAGCAGCAAGATCCTTTTGCAAAACCAAAGAAGCTGGTTCATGTGGGCTAAGGATGGGATCAAAGTGTCTGCATTCCCCAAAGAACCAGTGATGGGTGGCCAGCTTTCCCTCCATGTGGGTGACCCACATTTCCCACTGTTGGCATTTCCCAGCACGTCTGGGAAGAATGTGATCCCAAAATGCCAGCCACAGGCTGGAGGCTTCAGCCAGAAGGCTGTTTTCCAGGATGTCAGCCAGAGGGCAGAGCTGCTGCTATGGAAAGAGCGATCCCAAGGGAAAAGATGTCCCTCTTGGCCAAACCCAGCCAGCACAGATTGAGAGGGTCTAAGAAGAGAATAGTCCCCATGTCCCTAGGGAGTGGGACAGACAGGAAAGGGCTTGGGACAGCAAAGGAGGTTTGGCATCTCCATCATCTGAAATCTGTCAGTCCAGGCTAGAGGCATCCTCTGGAGATATCCTCGGCAAGTGACACTGCCTTGGGGCGGACAGGTGGAGCAGATGACTTATAGGGGCCCCTTCTGCATGCATGTCTCTTCTTAGAGACAAAGAGGGCCTTATCGTGCATGGGCAGCCTTTTGGCAAGGCTGAAGCGGCTGTGGAGGTGAAGGGAAGCAAGACGTGGGCTTGAAAACCCTTTTCCCTATGCCATGGGGAAGTCTGAAAGAAAAGCTTGGTCTCCAGATGAAACAGCTTCATCCATGGCTTGCAGAAGCCCAGACAGCCACCTTGGCTTTATGCCATGGCACTTGGCAGAAGGTGAGGGAGCAAGCAGGGAGGATGGTGGATGGAGGTGTGCCATGGTAAGTGTGATGTGCATGGTCACATGTGCCGCCCCTGCCCCTGCACCATCCCCACTGGCTGTGTTCATCAGCCTGGGGTGGCTGCTCCATCCTTTACCGGGGCTGCACATAATGCTGAGTTAACATGCAGGCTCTGCAGCTGATCGGCGGGGCAGGGATTAGCCCTCACCAGCTTTTACAGACACACTGCTTAGCAGCACTATTTCTCCTGCTGTAACAATGATAAAGCGACATTAGTATGCCAAATCAAAGTCTCTCCAGACTCAGGTGGCTCTGAGAGAAACGTATGCATGCACAGATACTATACGTTCATGCCAGTGCTGATGGAGGTATGGCAAAAACCAGACGAAGCGATGTGGTCTGTGGCTTTGCTTTTATAACTGCAGCCATTCAGTCCAGATCAGAGAGGGGCAGTGCCCCTGGGAGGTGACATGAGACAGAAGGGTGGTGTAACCTAGAAGAGTCAATCAGAGATGAACCACCACCCCCCCAGGGTACTGCGGATAGCTGTCAGCTGGAAACTTTGCTGCCCGGAGAAGGAACAGGACTGACTCTGAAGGGAGTGCAGGAAAATGCAGGGAGCCTCCCACTACACTGAACATTCCTGTTGTATTTATGCATCCACTGGGATGAATGAAAAGAAAATGGATAAGGAAAAGGTCCTTTGCTCTCAGCTGCAAAGGGATACCTCTGGCAAGAGCCCATCCAGCAGAAGAAAATGAAATTAGATGTTAGCTGATGCACTATCATGCTGGACTTTCATTACCAAGTCAATGATGCCCCTCCAAAATGTAAGTAGGAAAAATGTTGCCGTAGACATAAAATACACCAGAAGAAAGCTGTGCTTGTATTTCACACAGGAAGACGGGGTTTTCTTTTTGGTTATGTTCTCTCAAACATTAAAACGTCCCTGCCAATATGTCCTGAGCTTCACATTCTTCATTTAACTACAGACATAGCAACAGATAAATACGCAATGACAAATTTGTAACATTACTTCATTGATGGCCAGAAAACGCAGATTACTCAAGACCAAAAGCCTGAACTCCTGCCAAACAGTTGCAAGTGGAGAGCTGAGAGGAAAGATTTTGTGCCAGAAAGGGACAGAAACTACTAAAACCCTTATAACTGTAAGGTCCCTGCAAAGGTGAGGACCCCGCTGCAGAGCATCCTCAAAGAAGCACAAACACAGAGCAGAGACACAGTTAAAGGGAAACAAATTCTTGAGATAACTGGACATTGCTGCTCAGGTGGCTGCATCACTGGGACCAAAGGACATCAGGCACTAGGTGCCCCTTGTGCTGGCAAAAGAAGTGGGGGGATTTGAAGTACTGTTTTATGATGATTGGGGGAAGCACTGAACAGATTAAGGTTATATTTTGCAGCTGTTAAAAATGATCAGATCAGTGGAATCTAGAGGTGAGAGAGAAGCTTCAGAGGGATCAGCCAAAACTAATTAATTGGGCAGTGTGATGGGAGAAGAAATTAAGCGTGGACAAAGAGAAGGTAAAGCATATTGGAAGGAATAACTTCAACGCTTCATAATCACTAGTGGTTTCTAAATTAACTAGAAGCATGAAGGGGGAAAAAAAAAGATGTGGGTGTATCTGTGGACAATAGAGTGAAAACCATCTGGTTAATGCACAGTGGTGAGGAAAAAAACCCCAACGTGCTGTCAGACTGCTTTCATGGAGGGATACAGAGAATAACAAAAATATTACAGTACCATGTTGGCAGTGACTCAGCTGGTATGGACAAGTTGAGGGTTTTCACTTAGGAGACAGATTCGGAACATTTATTGTGAAAAATACAGTAAAAGAAATAATTAAAGACTTCTGTAAGAGTGAAAGCACCAAGCTCTGCAGCCAGAATGAAGTTCTTAAGTGTTCATGAGGAAATCTGGCTGTTTAAGAGGCAGCAGTAAGCAAGGAGTGAGCTGCAGGTCCCTTACAGAACAGAGCACCCAGCACCAGATTTTGTCATGTCTTTAATACTATTAGCACCTGATGACACGAAAGTCTGCAACTTCCCATGTAGTTAAAGGTCCTGAGAAGCCCGTGTCTGCAATATGTGTGAATTGCATCCTTATGAGATCAGTGTCATTTTTCTCCCTCTCAGTAACACTGGCTTCTGAGGAGGCTGAGCCCTAAAGCGCTTCAGTGCAGAAAAATCCAAGGGGAAGTCCCTTCTTACCTTCCCCTGGTCCCTCATGGCCCTGAGGGTGCCTTGTGCAGCGATGTCAAAGCAGGGCTTGCTTCTTCCTGCCCCTTGTCAGCAGTGCTGGAGCAGCGTTCAGGCTGCCTGCTTTTTTCTTCAGCAGATGATGGATGGGGAAGGCACGTGCCTTTGGAAAGCTGTCCAGAGCACCTGAATTCTGGGTTAATTAAGATCTCAGTTGACATGCTGTGAATAGCCATTCAGTGGAACCTTTTCCTGGGTTCAGACAGAGAGCCTTGTTGGATGCCTAAGTAATGTGGCAGCATTTCCAGCTCCTCACAGTGCAGGAACTCCCATCCTCCAGGACAGTCACTAGGATGCCTGTTCCACTTGGACAACTGGATGTGGAGATCATCATGGAAAAGGGCAAGTCTTCATGAGGCAAAGAGATGTTCTTGAATACCAAATGTTCCTTTCAATGCTTATGCTCTTGGACAGGATCCAGCCAAGGTGTAGGCTGGGAGAGCAGGGGCACAATGAGGAAGGTACAAGGATGTGAAGGGGAGCAAGGAGGGGGAAGGAGGTGGTATATATGGTTGCATGCATGTCACACTGGGGATGTGTTCAGGCAAATAGCAGACATCTGGAGAATGAGCAGGATAGGGAAGGGAACCCTATGTGCTGTCTAGCTCCTTTGCATCGCTCTTGCAAGGCAAAGCAGCTCTAAACCCAGAATAGCTGGTCCATATGCTTTGGCTGCTTTTGCCTGCAGCCAGAACCTTGTGGTAAATCTGGCCATGAAAGATAACAGTCTTAAAAAGTAAAGCAGAGCTGGTGGGACTACGTGTCTGCCATGGATGACCCTGGTACAGTCCTCCCACCCTGATGCACTGTGATTCTGCATGTTCAGATGGTGTCACTGAATGGCAGAGCTGTGATTGCTGTTGAAGGAGAAACTCCGGATTATGAAGAAAATCGAGGGGGGAAAGCCACACAACCCCAAACCTGTACTCACAT